TGGCACCATACCCTTGAGGTCAGGGACATGGTGCCAGAAAGCCACATCAAGGCCTTAAGGGGGCTGGTCAAGGCCACCAAAGAGGTTTAGATAGTGAGCTATGTGGAAAGTGAAAAAAGGGAAAGGCAGGTCAAGAAAGATGCCAGGGACTTCCTTCCCAAGGACCTGTTCGAGCAGTTGAAAGTTCACTGCACTTGGAAAAGGAGAAAAGGACAGGTCCAGGGGGAAAAAAGGAAGTCTGCAAGTACATTGGGGCCTCTGTGATTCTTGATGATTCACCAGAGGTGGCCCAGGAGTGCTTGCAAGGTGGCTTGATGGTTTTTGCCATCTGCACAAAGTGGTGCAGGCATGGTGATATGCCTCAAAGCATGGTTTTCAGTGACTTTGCTGAGGCAGTGGAGGCTTACCTTGAAATTTAAAAGGTAAAAGCTTTGGAAAAGGCAGCCTCCAAAAGGTTTAGGAAAAGCCCTGAGCCATGCCATGCCTTTGGAAAAGGGCTGCACCACAAAAAGCCTTTGGAAAAGGGCACCAAAGCCACCAAAGCAAAACAAGAGCCTTTGGAAAAGGGCTGCACCACAAAAAGCCTTTGGAAAAGGGCACAAAAGCAAAACAAGAGCCTTTGGAAAAGGGCCCCAAGCCTTTGAGAAAGGGTTCAAAACTTTTGGGAAAGAGTTTCAATCCAGTTTCACCAGCAGAACCTTTGGAAAAGGGTTCAAAACTTTTGGAAAAGAGTTTGAATTCAGTTTCACCAGCAAAGTGTACAGAAACCACCAACTAATGAAGAATAGTGAAAATGAAATATAAATAATAAAATAAATAGTTTAATTATAAACATATCTAAAGAAATTCTAAAATGAATATATTTTTTCATGATAGCAATTTGAATTGTATCAGGAAAGGCTTCAGAAATGTTTACCTTTAGTCAAACCATAATGGAACATTATAAACAAATCTATGTATATATTTGAATGTTTATATTTAAAATATTTTTTACAGAAAAGAAAATTAGATAGAGATAAAAAAAAGGTGCCAAACACAAACACTGAAAACAAAAGCAAAACAAAACATGTGCATGTGAACTTTATTTGTTTGTAATTTTGATAAGAGCCCTTTTCCAAAGGCTTCTGCTGACAAAATTCCAGGAATCAGTAAAACCCAAAAACAAATTCACTGGAATTTCATTTGAATTCAAACAAAAATCACTTGAATTCAAAAAAAATCAAAAAAACAAATCTGATCAAATCTGATCAAATCTGATCAAATCTGATCAGATTTGATCAGATTTGATCAGATTTGATCAGATTTGATCAGATTTGATTTTTCTGTTTTTTTTGATATTGTCTGATTTTTTTTGAATTCAAGTGAGTTTTTTCTGGTTTCACAAGTTTTTTTTCTTGTATGTTTTTAATTCCAACCATTTTTTTGGTTTCAATGCAAATTGGCTTTGCTGAATCCCAGTGAAATTTTGGCTCAAAAACTGAAGCAACCTTAGTTGCCAAGTTGTGTTTAGGATCTATGGGACCTAAGAAAAACATGAAAGCAATGAAAAAAGGCAACATGGGTTTGGGAAAGCCCAGTAGTGTGAAAAATCCAAAAACAGTAATGAAAAAAGCCAAAGCCAAGGCAAAGAAAAAAGCAACTGGCTCCAAAAATGCTGCTTTGGAAAAGGCAGCCAAAGCCAAGTCCAAAAATGATCTGAACAGGTCCAATTTGGAAAAGTTGGGCAAAATGTCACTGGATGAAAAAAATCAAAGCAGCTGCTACCCAAGGAGGAACCAGTGAAGAGCAAGCCCAAACTTTGAAGGACAGCCTCACCAAGGAGGAACATGCAAAGGTTTGGTCCAGACACCAGACACATTTGAAAAATAACCCTTTGGAAAAGGGGGAACTGGAAGGCATGAGCAAGAAGGAGAAAGGCATGAGGGCTGCCCAGTGGCTTATGGATACCTCTGGGAGGAAGTACCTCCATGCCTCCAGGGAAGTGGTGGCCAAGCAAAAAACCACCAAAATGGACAGCTGGATGTCAGAGAAGCAGGCCACTGACAAGTTTGGGTGGGATGAGCTGGTGCTGCACTGCAACTCTGGCAGAGTTGTGTGGCGCCAAGACCCAGCCACACCAGGTGTCTACCAGTACAAAGACCTCCAAGATTTCCATGGCCAGGTGGAAGTCTCAAGGGGATCCAAATGGCAACAGGGACAGGAAATGGAACCTGGAGATGAGGAGCAGGACAGGTTCAACACCCTGTACCACCAAGATGCCATGTCCCTTGGTTTGGAGGACATAGAAGGTGGGAAAGGCAAAGGCTTTGGAAAAGGCAAAGGCTTTGGAAAAGGCAAAGGAAAAGACAAAGGAGCAGGCTTTGGAAAAGGCCAGAAGCAATTGGCCATCAAGGACAAAGATGATGAGGATGAAGAAGAAGAGGAAGAAGATGAAGAGAAAGAACTCAAGGAAGCTTTGAAAAAGGCAAGGAAAGCAAGGGACACAGTGGCCAGCACACAAAGTGATTTGGAGCTGGCTTTGGAAAAGGCCAGCCCAAAGCTGAGCAGGCAGGGTAAGGCTGGAGCTGAAGGTTGGTCCAGCCAACTGACCAAAGTTTTGTCTCAGCTGAAGATGGCTTTGAGTGGCAAAAAGAAAACCACAAGCTCTGCTTTGAAGGCCATCTTGGAAGAAAGTGCCAAGCTGGTGAAGGGTGCCAAAGATGAAGCAAAAGAACTGAAACAGCTGGCCCACAAGGAAGCTTCCCTGGCTGGAAGCAAGAGGTCTAGGGGCAGCAAGTAAGATTTTGGAAAAGATCATTGCATGCCAGGCAGCAAAAGCATTTGGAAAAGTGCTGGTGGAAAGCATTTGGGAAAGTGCTTGCTTTGGGGCATGTGCAGCCTTTGGGAAAGGGCAATTTTGGGTAAATTGGCAGCCTTTGGCTTAGGAGTAGCTCTTCCAAAATGGGAGAAGCCACTGCACACAACAATATAGACCCATAGGCGACAAAAGATAGCTGTCTGCAGCTTGGGGGAAGGGTGGGGGGTAGGGACAAAGTAAAATGGCAAAAATGCACTATAACATATTTCTTGAAATCAGCACCACCAAAAGGAAGGAAATGAAGTTGTAAAGGCAAGGTTTCAAATTGTACTGGTAGTTTTTGTAATATTGGGTGTGTTTTTTGTTTTATTTTTTACAGTCCCACATATGTGTGTCAGGGATATCTATATATATATATATCTCTGTATATATATATATATTTATATGTATATCTAAAGAAATACACACACACACACATATATATATATATTTAAAAGCAAAAAATGTATATTTATATATATATATATAAATATATATATAAATATATATATATATATGACTTCAAAGTGCTCCACTGCAATCAAAGATTTTTGCCAGAGGTGCGCCAAGGTCAGGCACAGCTGTTTACCAAAGAAGTGCTATGCACAAGATGATGGATCGTCCTGCCAGTCTTGAACTGGCACAAAGGAAAGAAAAATCATCGAAGCAGTTCACACCCCCCTTAGCCACAACGTGCTCTGGCAATAGCGGCAAAACTGTGGCAGAAAGTCACAGGATATGGCTGGGCAATCAAAGTGCGAAAGACTCCATCTTCTGTAGTGCCTCGCAGCGGGATGTGAGGCTTGAGTGAAAATGAACACTTATTGTGATGCCCAGCACAACGTTTTGACAGTGATTGCAGGTCAATATACTTATATAGCAGCGCAGTGGGTTTCTTCCACGGCTCGCCATAGGCGCAGTAGTCCAGATAAACATATCTAGGAGAATATCTGCGAATAAATCTGAGAAGAGGAGGCATATTCCACAACATACTGCTAAAAGGATCCCCCATCGAATTTTAGGGGAGACGTTGTGACCCCTGGTCTGTAAGGCATAAAAAAGATTCACAAGTTTGGGGCTATAGAATGAGGTTGCTGAGCTCCATTTTTCTCGAGAATAGCCTTAGCTACAAAATGCCCCTTCGTTTCAACAACCTTGACATAGGGGGAGGTTTTCCCTTGTTACAAAATGCCCCTTCGTTTTCAACAACTGTATCATACAAGGACATACCCTTTGCTACAAAATGCCAATCTCATTTTCAAGGACTGCATATGCAAAGGAACATCGTTGCTACAAAATGCAACGTTGTTTTCAACATCATCCACCAAGATTCATCAAGCATCATCATTCATCACAGATCAATATAGATCAATACAGATCATGCATATTCATGCATCATCATGCAGAATTGTTCTGTTTGAATCTGCTTAGTCCTTTTCATTGTATTGCGGCGGCTCTGCAACGGATTGCTTGAACCACATCTAAGCTACAAAATGCCCGTTTGATTTTTATAAGCCAGTATGAAGTTCATCATGTCATGCTACAAAATGCCACTGCGGTTTTCATGATGGGCTAACATGACTAAAATGACTCCTTTATAAAATGATATTCACAAGTTTAAGCTACAAAATCTTGGGCCTGGATTTCATCTCAGGGTTAGCCTGACTAAAATGGAAGCCTCTGTATAGTGCTTGTGGCCACCAACTCTGTAGCTTGAATTTGCTGGGGGATCTAAAAGGATTCTCCACAATGTAAGGTACAGCAAACTGCTCGCATAAATGTAAAATTCGCATCAAAAAAGCCAACAGCCGATTACCATCTTCAACCTTTCTGCGATCACGATAGTTGAGTTCTGGCAAACCCCAAAGATGAAAATCAGAACGTAAAGGCCCCGGGCCCAGACCATCGTTTTTTCTGGCACGAGAGAAGGTAGTGCACGGCATACCCAGCCAAACCATGCTAATTCGACCGCTGCGAATCCAGAAGGATAACTTCTCTTCAATTTGCTTGTGCAAAACATTGTGAGATTCAAATAAGCAATTGTCAACAGGGAAACAAACCACCTTATGATCGTTGAGAGCATTGCACAAACGTGAGCTGCCAGCAAAAATCTCAAGAGCAAAACGATGTGGTCGATCCTGCATTGTGAAAACATCGATGGGAACTAAGCGCTCACGGTTCGAGGTGGACAACGACCTGTGCAAACTTTCTCCAGGTTCTTGTGGCTCCACAGGCAAAAACTGCGACTGCTGTCCGGAAGCTGGTTCAAGAGTTGTTGCACACGGCCCACTTTGGCGTACCTCCTCACGGAGGAATCTGTCTTCCAGCGGCCTCTGCTCTTCACGCCGTTGAAGTCCCTCACATGAGAGGTCAGGTCCTGTGTCGCACCTCCGTGACGCAATTGATAGGGGTGCAAGTTCATCACCCCCAACTTGGCTCCCAGTCGAGTAAAAGTCTTCCTGAACTCCTCCATTGTGAATGTGAACAGCCGATCGTTGGGACTTTTCAACGCTTTGGCCAGCGACAATGCCTGCTGACCTATCCACTGGTGCTCCTTGACATCGAAAGGCAGACTGTTGTCGTACACACCCACTTTGTCGGGTTTCTGACCGATTTGATCTCGAATGATGATGTTCACCCAAGCGAATTGATTTCCAGCCATGCGCACAGGGGGCACTATGTGCCTTTTGCAAAGCTCCAATGCCTCGCCTGGACGTAGATACATGTGGAATGCAATCATGGTCATCACTGCCATGCTCTTCAGGTTTGCAGCCACCATCTCCATTGCTATTCCGGCCATGATGATCTGAGGCAGTGGCAGTCGGGAAGTTGCTGGGGTGATTTTCCGCCACCCTCGCAAGGCTCTGCGGCTCCTCACCATCAAACCCTTGTGCTTCATGAACTGGAACTCGTAGGCAGCTAAGGTTTTTTCTCCTTCGTGAGCCGCCCGTTTCTCGATGAACATCACATCCATGTAGTCGGCCATGACTAGATCGGCCTCTTCTGTTGAGAGGGGCCATTGGACCGCGCTCTCCCGACAGAAGGCCTTGAACTTCTCGAGGTATTGGGCGTATTGCCCTCTGCATTCCTTGGAAATGCTCTTCTGCTCCAGCACTGTCATTCTCTGAGTTTGAGCTCTTGTGCCCACTGAGTCCTCGTCCAAAGTGATATCTTTTTTCACACCCTGGATGGAACGACATGCTCTCTTCTTCACTGCTGACACGGGCCACTCTGAAGGTAGCAATCTCTTCAGTGTGGCCTTCTTCGCAACATTCTTTTCCGTGGTCACTAGGCTTGCACGACTCAGAGATCTCTGAGTCTTCTTGTGAACTATCACCTCTTTCTTGGGAATCACTCGGCTCGTCGGCTTTTGACACAAAGGCAGGATGGCAACATTTCTGGTAAGGACCCGGGCTGATCTGCCCTCTGCTGGGGCCATCAGATGGATTCCATTCACTGGGAACCCAACGCACCCGTATGCACAATCGAGCTGCTAAACAAATAGAGCCCACTTGCTGTAAAATGCGCAACATGTCATAGGAATGTGCTCTCCCCTTGTGTACTGCAAACACTAAAGCCAAATTGTCCAAGAAAAAAGTATGCCGCTTTCCCCTGTGATGTGCAGCCCGACTCAACCTACGCAGCGCCAACACCAAAGCCCGGCCTTCTTTGATGGTAATATGCTCAGAGCAATCACGCCACTTGCCCAGCTTCGCAGTCCTCCATCGATCAGGCTTGAGAAAGGTATATGGCACTTCTGGAAAATCAATATTGCTGCAATACGTGTCCACTTCATCAACTATATCTGACCCCCCTAAAACTGTACGATGATCTGAAAAAACATCCATGTGAAGAGCCCTGGAACGCGGTGCCCATTGATCCACAGGCAGCCTCTTGAATCTCCAACGCTCACACCACTCTCCCAAGTTCTTGGCCTCCTGCACCGCGCAAGAGGATTCGCAAATGCCATACCCCTCCGGGGATGCATCAGTACATGTCAATGTGTCCGACCACGGAAGTCGCAAATCAGAATAGAGAAGAGGAATGAATCCCACAAAGTTCAAAGCTTCATCCCTTTCCGAAGATGACAATCTGCGAGTCTCACCCTTCTCAATAAAATCATAGAGCTTCCTAAAAATGCACATGCCACACCGATTCATAATGCAAATAGTCATAGCATGACCCATCAACTTCTGAACCAGTTTTGGGGAAACCACCGCATGAGCAATATAAGAGAAGGCAATCGACACTCTCCACATACGTTGACTAGTAGCCCTTACTTCACCCTTCACTCCGTCAATGAAGCCACCAAGTGTGCTAAGCTGAGTTGAAGCCGGGGTCTCCTCATGAAGGTCAAAGCCCAAACTCTTCAGCTCCTCACAGATGAGATCGCACCCATCCTGGCAGCGCGCACGATTGGTGGACATGGAGTGAACATTATCAATGTAGGGCATAGCAATGCAATCACGTTCACCAAGAGAGGGAGGGGGTTGACCATCTAATACCAAAGCACTTCGATCAACCTGCAGAGCTCGCATCGTCGCTTGGTCATGTAGGCATTGAATAAGGAAGCAGCTCCAGCTAAAACCCATGGGTAATACCGAAATACATGGACAAATACGCTGACCATCACTCACTTCCCAGACACCGCCCGAAATGAAGTCAGCCTCAGCAGCTGTGACATCACTCTTAAAGCAGAAGAAGGAGCAGAGACCTGGTGGCAAGTTTGCAGCATAAAAGCAATCACAGATATCTGCGGAAGCCATGTACAAGGTATCCTCTGGATCCAAAGTCATCTGCCCCAAAGCCGCCAGGCTTCCCAGTTCAGTCATAGGGGGATCCCTGAAGCTAAGGTTGGTCTGACGACAATCCAAAACCAAACGCTGCCTGTTCTGAAGTACATTGTTGATGACTTTCGGCTTTTTGGCAACGCAAAATGCACCTACACGACCACGGCATGTTGAGGTATGTGAAAGGACTCCGCACTGAAAGAGGTGCTTCAAAAAGTTGATGTATCCAGATCGGCTAGCCAAAAGGGGGTCGTTATAAGGAGGGACCTTACTAATCTCATCGGATAAAGTCATGAAAGTATCAGCGTCCTGTAGCATGAAATCCTCAAAATTGTGAACAACAGAATGAACTTCCCCTTGCAAGCCATCAAGCAATGAAACCCCAGCCACCTGACCATCAGGAAGGGACATTTGACTCAGGTCCATGTTGACGACCGATCCCACACCATTCTCCGGCTCAGAGTAGCCAGAGACAGGCGCCCGGAGCGCACTAAGGGCTCCCTGGCAGCTTGCATCATCCGGAGGTGGACCCATCTTTTAAGATGCTATCACGGATATGATTCAACGCTTCACGTTGATGCGCAGGAAGAGAGCTCAGGTCAGAACAGGTCTCCCGCTTGTACCGCGATCCACCACCAAACCACAATGAATTCAAAGCAGCAACACTAAGGTTCACCTTCTCATCGATATGTCGCTTACGCAAAATCCTTCTCCTAACTGATCGGCAAACATCACTGGCACCCTTGTCCCCCACAGCCACAAAGGGAAGCGGAAAGAGATCACGATTCCTTGAGGAAGTATCCCTAGGAGGATGAAAGATATGACTCTCCCACCCCATGATGCCAATGGCGCACGAACAGCAGTCGAAGAGAAACTCAAAACCAAAATCCCCGGAAGCCACCAAAGATGAAATCCAAGGTTGCAGTTGAAGAAGATCGTGCAAGCCCCCCAACTGCCAGAGGACTCACACCAGTGGATTCAGGTCGATCCCGCCGCCTCTGCAGCACCTTTGGGTGCTGGCTTCGACGGCTTGCCACTTTTTCCACGACCCTTCGACTCCTCGATCTTTCTTTTCTGCTTCATAATCTGTGCATCAGCATGGAGCTTGCGAGCCACATGCTCAGTGAGAGCAGGCACCACTATACCACCTCCATGTCGATATTTGCTACCCATCCAATAATCACCCCCCTCGTAGTTCGGTGCAGAAGGATTATGGCTATTGTGCATCTGCTATCAACTGACGTCTGCGCACCAGCAATTCGAACGATGCCAAGTTGCTGACACAAAGACAATCGTAGCATATGGCCACATCTAAGATCTGAGCCAAGGCCTCATCCTCATACACTGCTCGAGAGCCCTCTGGGATCTTGGACTGCTGCACCCATGCCAGGTGCTGCGCAAAATTGCTTTCCGCTATCGACTGCACAGCCTGAAGATAAGGAAGACAAGTGCGAGGTTCGAAGGGGAAGTCGGACATTTCTGTGGTGGTCATCTCATCCACCGTCTCCTTAAAACCTCGACGCCTTTCCCCATTTGCTCCGTACTTCACTGCTAAAGTGCGGATGTCATCGGCAACAATCCTATCAATACCTTCACAGGCCTCACATGATCTGAGTTGCTGAACACGGTCTTCACAGAATTGAGCTACTTCATCGGCAGAAACTCTAAAAGCAGTCACCACCCTAGTTTGCCCGTCTGAATCAACCATTTGCACCAAAGCCACATCACCCAGAGAAGGCGCCCCCGCAGGTACATCAACTATGTCACCAATTTTCTTCTGACCAATGCTTTCCCCCAACACCCAAAGTTGACCAGCTGCAGCTGCAGCTGCACGCGCTGCACCTGCACCAGCTGGTGCAGCAGGGTCTGCCGGTGGTGCCACTGGAGGGGGCACTATCCCTCTAGCAGCTCTTTCCGCAGCAGCCTGTGTTCGACCAATCCTCATGAAGTTGGAGTACTCCCGCACTGTCATAGGAGCAAAGCCATACACATTAGCAGCAGCAACCCCCCTCGGCAGTCCTCCTCCTGGTCCACCCAGGTAGAAAGCATGAAGATCACCATTCCTGTCGTGCAACACTTCGCTGTACATGTCGTGGTCGGGAGTGAGGATCATGTATTCATGTGTGCTGGGATCAATGGAGTCCAAAACCAATCTGGCATGTACGACCTGTGGCCGCTCACCGTGGTCCATAAATACTACATCGCCCGGATTGATCATCTTGTCAACTGAAGTGCAGTGGAAGGATTATATATGCCTTTGGACTTGCCCTTGAACGAAATGGAAACTTCTCGATCACCTCCCCGATGAACCACCGAGAACTTACAAACCAAGAAGTAGTTGGCAAAGACACCAGCTAATCCAACCAACACCGTGCAGATGATGCCAATACCCCAAGTGCCCAAACCAGTCTCAGACGATGTGAGATGTGTGCAGCGACAATTGCACTGGCAAGGCACTGGCTCGTCTCGCGTGGGGAAGTAGCCCCGAAAGTGCCACCCCACCGCCACACCAGTCAATCCACACGCCAGCTGCACCACATCCATGAACCCTACCACTGATTACACTTGAGGATAGACGGCAAAACCCAAAGCAGCTACTCAACTTCAGCCGTCAACCCCCTACAAGTAGAGATCATATATATATATATATATGTGTGTGTGTGTGGGCAATAGCCATCCCCCTAGGTAGCAATAGCCTCCACCCTCACTCTTCTTCTTTTGCAACAGGTATATGTTTCTGCAGCTGTTTTCAGCTTCTGTTCAAACTTGTAGGAAGGGGCTTTGGAAAAGGCAAGGGGCTTTGGAAAAGGCAAGGGGCTTTGGAAAAGGCCAGCAGCAGAGCCATGACAAAGAGGCTCAGAGGCTGGCAGCTAGAATATGAATCAGGGAAGGCACCTAAGGCCAGAGCCAGCAAAGCTTTGGAAAAGGCAGATGGTTCTGTTGCATAATCAGCTTTAGCAAACAAATTGCTGAACCTTTGGGCAAAAGGAGTCCTCAGTGCAACATTACTTCAGTCCTTGGCAGCTTCTGCTATTCAGGATGGTGCCCAGCATCAAGACCTTGTGGCAATCGCACAAACAGGCAATTGGGGGTCCCAGCCTGGAAATTGCCATAGACAAATCATGAACCATTTTTGCTCCAATGTGCAGATTGCTGACCCTTATGAAGTGGAAGTTCCATGCAAAGACCCAAAAACTTCCAAGGAGGCTTTGGAAAAGGCCTCATTGTTTTTGCCACATATGATGTTTTGGAAACTGGGTGTTAACTACCCACAAGTTTTCCATGAGCTATTCAGCTTGGGCCAGGGAAAACTCAAAGCCTTCTGGCAAGGGGTTGAAAAAACCAATGATAACAAATTGAAAGATCACCCTATGTCTTTGGAAAAGGACTGGGAAGATCTTACTATCCCCCTGTTTCTGCATGGCGATGGGGTTGATTTTTCCAACAATGACAATTTAATGGTCTATTCCTGGGGCTGCTTACTCAGCAGCACCAGCACCTTGCTGAGCCATTGGCTCCTTGCCTGCTTTCCTAAAAGCTGTGGCAGCAAGACAACATGGGAAGTCATTTGGAAATATCTTCAATGGTCCTTTGAAGCACTGGCAGATGTGAAGCACTGGCAGATGGCAAGCACCCAACCATGGATCCAGACAACAAACCTTTGGAAAAGGGTTCAGTGTTCCACAAGCTAGCAGGCCAGCCACTGCATCTCAAAAGATACAGGGCTGTCCTGTGGTCTGTGATTGGAGACCATGAGTTTTTTGCTAACTCTTTGGGATTACCACATTGGAACAGCCATTGGCCTTGCTGGGAGTGTGATGCCCAGAACTTTACTCCATGTACCTTTGGAAAAGGGTACAAGGAAATTTGTTTGGAAAAGCAAAAGTTCAAAGTCTTCACCCATGAAGAATGCCTGGCAGACCCATGGAGTGACCATGCCCTTTTCAAACTGAGCCACATCTCAAGCAAACATGTCCGTGGAGATCCACTACACATCTTGTTCTGCAAAGGACTCTATGGACATGTTATAGGATCAATTCTCCATTATGTCTGTTACATTGAAGGCCCTGGCCAAAGAGCCACTAAAAAGCCAGCAGACAGACTTGCAATTCTCTTCAGTGAAATTCAAATTGAATACAGCAAACAGGAGTGCAAAAACCGCTTGACCAATCTCAGGATGAGCATGTTTACAGACACACAAAAGCCATGGGCCAAATATCCCCAATTGGATTGCAAAGGAGGGGAAGCCAGGCACCTCCTGCCAGCCTTCATTCCTGTTATCCAAAGGCTTTTTCAAGACACAATGGAAGAATGTGAGCAGCACATGGTCTTGGTGGCTACCAGTTTGGAAAAGCTGGTGAAGCTCTGGGATGAGGCTGACACATTTCTTACTTCATCACAGTACCAAAAGGGCTTGAAGCTGGCAGGTGATTTCCTGAGAAGCTATGCCTGGCTGAACCAATGGTCTTTGGAAAAGGACAGGATGAGTTTTCACATAGTTCCAAAACATCACAGCTTCATCCATCTGGTCTGGAATTCTAAGTTTTTAAACCCACGAACACAGTGGTGTTTCAAAGCTGAAGATTTTGTAGGGCAGGTGGCCAGATTGACCCATTCAGTCTCAATGGGAGTATCATCCACACGCCTGTCTTTAAAAGTTGCACCCAAGTATCGCATTTTGGTGCATCTTTTTTTGACAAGGTCCATGCAGGAGGAAAGTGGTGATTAGTTTGGAAAAGCTCTTTGCTTTGGAAAAGGCACAGTGTAGACTGGAAACTTTGGAAAAGGATTTCAGCCTACTGCTTTGGAAAAGGCCAGATGGCTTTGGAAAAAGCCAGCAGGATTACTTAGCCAGCTGTGTGTACATATATATACTTTAGGTGCAAAGCCACCTAGAGATATGAGGCATGCCTTCAAAAATCTTGCTGCCAGAGCTGCATCTGGAAACACCTTTTTTGATCTGTTTTTAGAGGTTCCTTTTGATTTGCTCTTTTGATTTTTGCCTTTCAAAAACTATGTTTTTCAAATTGATTTTTGACTGAAAAATATCAATTAGGCATTTTGATTTCTTAGGCCTCAAAATCAAATCTTTTGATTGTAATCAAAAGGCGATGCTCAGGGCACAATATGGGCCGCATTGCGGAACACTAAATGTGGCAAGGCACGATGGTTAATATCAGTTCGGACCCATTTTGGAAATTTTGAACAACCTCCGATATACGGAATACGGTTGATGTGACCAAGGTTCAACGTCAAAATGCCAAGCTGATATGTGTCCTTCTGAAATTCATGGATGTTTTCCTTAGTGCGCTTGGCAACACCGAGGACTGCTCTTTTTCCAAGAAGGCACGATCTGAAGAGCTCCAATAAACGGAGAATCTCTCCTTCCTTAAGGTCACCGCCGTCCGGGTACTTGAAGAAAGCCTCAGGTCGCCAGATCGGAAGTGGCGTCTGGTCCCGGGCATCAACAAAGTGCTCCTGGAGAGTTGGGATTCGACTTCCAAATGGCATTTCATAAATATATTCTGTATAGTCGAAATCCTCAATACCATGCCGTGCAAAAGACTGCAGGTAGGTATTCCCCATGGACCGGCCTTCACGCAAATGCGTGATAAGTTCCGAAAATTTGTCCTGGCGATTTTGAGCATGCTCGCTTCTGGTGGCTCCGAAATACGAAGATTCAGCAAGAACAGCATCGACCAATTCTCCGATATCGAAAGGCGACTTGGATGAACCGATGCTGTCTGGCATAAACTCAGCGGACAACTCAGAGGAATAATTAACAATGCTATGATTGCAGGCTAAGCCGCAGGTGCGGCATTCCAAGCAATAGGCAAAGCCACAAGGGTGGCACCAGAAAATTGCCTCTGCACAGTTGCAGTCTTCAAATTTTTTACAGCATTGAGGACCCGCAGGGCGAGGAAACCATTGAATTTCATCTGTATCCTTTTTAAATTTTTGGAAAAACTTCTGTGCTGCGTCCGCATCGCGGAACAGTTCTTTTGCCTGGGTATTCATTTCACGGCGTGCCATTGTCTTAACAACCTGTCTACGGCCACCATAAGGAGATCCTACCTGCGTATTGATTCCAGTGGCGGTGTCATAGAAGCCTCGGTCAGAGCTAGCCGCAGAGGCGGCATCCTTCTGTTTCTTTGGCATAGGCTTAGGCTTAATTACTCTCTGGGGAGCTTCGCTCTCCGAGGCGGAAGACTGCTCCTTGTTCTTTGCCTTGTTGAGATGTTTCTTAAATCGTTGGGAAATTTCTGCCTTGAGAGTTTTTACTCTTTTGTCTGCCTCTGTCTCAGGCGGGCCAAGCTCTTGGTCGTTCGGAGTGACGTTGGTGCGCATCGGCCTGGCCGGACCGGGATCGGTACTACGAAAACTTTCTAAAAACTTGGTTACTACAGGAAGCTTTTCAATCTGTTCTGCCACATGCTCCACATAGGAGAAACCATCTTGTTCATTCTCATTCCTTTTCTCCCAGTAAATTTGGCGGTGGCAAACATGCATTGCAAGGTCAATATCTGATGTGTAATCATTCATTCGTCTGAGCTCAGCCGGTTCCGGTGTAACAAGCCAGGTGCGATCAACGAAGGACCAAACACCGCAAAAGCGGGAAAACGGTACGGTCTGATCGGTAAGGACATATCGGTTGTGTGTGATCACTGGACCAAGGCCGGTCACGGCACCAGGTTTTGCAATTAAAATGCAATCTGATTCGGGACGTAATACGTCTCTGATCGTACTGAGTGATGAATCAAGAGTGAAATGCACGTGGTTCCTTCCACCACGGGTGCCGCCTGGGAGCAAACCAAGTCTTCGGATGGAGTCAAGGTTCTTCTCGTTCGCTCCATGGATGAGGTACCTCAAGGAAAACATATCAGGCATAAATGGGCAGTGCTGAATTTCGACATTGGTGGAATGGCCACTCTCAAAACGAATAAGAATGCTCGCAATGTCGAGACCATCCAGCAGATCGGCCTGACCTTCTCTTGATGCTTCATCGTCGAAGTCTGCCGGTTTAAACCAGCAGTCCGATGTCGGAACATTGCCTGGTTGGAAATCTTCGGAGGTAACATAGCCGATCAT